AGAGGCAGAGGATAAAGGTGGCCTGTTCCCTCGGTATCTCACGTTTTAAGTTTTAGCTACGTAATTTTTCCTGATGTTGCCTTACATCTGGTTAGGAATCTACCTGTGCCTTTTCTGAGCTAGAGCAGGGGGAGGAGAGGTTCCTGTGGAGGGTGTCCACAGGCAGGGCACCCAGCGCAGAGAAGTCCGGGCCCAAGCGGCCTGGCTGGGTTGTGTTACAGCCAGAACCCGGGAGGAGGGTGTCCACGTTGGGGTGGGGTGAGCCCATGGTCTCTGATGATGTCTGCTGCAATCTGGCATGTAGATGTGGTGTGTAGTGTGTACACACACTGTCCAGCTCTCTAGCTTGGGCGCAGCCATACCCCAGTAGCAGTGACCATCCCTAGCTCCCAGGTTGTGGCTTTCATACCATTGTCCATTAAGAGCCAGAGCTCCTTGGAGAAAAGGCTGGTCCAGGGCTGGGACACCTTGTGCCAGAAAGCAAGTAATTATTCAGAGAACAATGGAGACATGTCAGAAAGACACAGGAGCCAGCTTGAATGGGCTCCTTCAAACTCCATCTGAAACAATTTGAACATTGAAATAAATAGCAATTATAACATTATAACTTAGTGAATGAAATAGGAAATCATGACTATAGTAATATAAATAAATTGAAAGTTTGAGAAACAGAATGTCTCCATAGTTTCAAAGTACCTACTTCCCCACAGAATACTCATTAATTACAGAGGGGACAGGAATAACTTACAGTGAAGCGGCTTGGCAGGCACCACCTTAATCAGATGATTAGAGTGAATGTCATGGGCAGTGGAACCAGTTGGAAGTATCTTCCACCTGCAGGACCATTGGTGCCATGCAGCAGCATTTGCAGGACTCCGGCCGCAGAGGTGTAACTGGAATCTAATTATGACAGACAGTTGAGAGGCAGTCTACAAAATAATTGCCTGGGAATCTGTACCTTGGTCAAGGTGTTGAAAGTCAAGGAGAGACAGGATTCGCTCCAGGCTTAAGGAGGAAACTTAGGAGAAGTGACAACAAAATGCAATACACAGTTCTAAACTGGACTTTTTATGCTGTGAAAGGCAATTGGCGAAACATGAATGGAGCCTGAAGAATATATGTTATTATGTTACGGTAATAATATGTCATTTAAATTTCCTGATTTTGAGGGCTGTATTATTATGTAGGAGATTGCCCTGTTTGTAAGACATGCACAGATATTCTGGGATGATGGGACATCAGGTTGGCAGTTCACTCAGCCCAGTCAAAGGAAAAACCTATGTCCTCTACTTCCAACTTTTCTGTAACTCTGATTATTTCTGAGTAAGAATTTTTTAGCTTTATACCAGACAAGTTGTCAAAGAAAAAACAAATGAATCAGTTCAGAGTAGGACTAACAAAGGGCTATGCAATAAATCTAAAAGAGCTGCCCTCAGAATTGCACTGTGAAATGGAAAGACCTCAAAGTAGAAGAATTCCAGTGCAGTGTGATGACTTCACGTCTCAGTCATCCTGCGGGTTTCATGGCGGGTGGTTGGGTGGGTGTCTTTTTCTCACTGCCCTTCTTTTTCTGTATGACCTTTGCAGGTAATCCACGACTTCTTGTTCTCCTTGAAAGAAAGCCCTGAAAAGTTCCAGATTGAAGCCAACTTTCCCCGGCGGGTGCTGCCCTGCGTCCCTTCAGAGGAGTGGCCCAACCCCCCCACGCTGCAAGAGGCGGGACTCAGCCACACAGAAGTTCTCTTTGTTCAGGACCTAACAGACGAATGACACTTTTTCTTCCTCTCCCCTCCCACCCCAATCCCTAAAAGAAGTGGAAAAAAGAAAACAAAAAGAGAGAAATTCATATTATTATTATTATAATACAATATTTTTTTTAAAAGACTGCTGCATCCTAAGGAAGGATCAGACTCCATGCTGCCTGCCAGGTCGCCACCTGTGCGCGGTCAGCAGTGGATGCTCCAGCCAGCAAGCGCACCATCCCCATTGCCTCTGCACCACACACCTTCCAGGGGAGGGAGACGTTCACCTCCAACCCAGCCATTGCCCCAACTAGGGGAGAAGGGGACATTCCCACTAGTTCTCATTCATTCGTGCTTTTATGGAAAATAAAAGTGAAAACCTCCATCGACCAGCTGCCGCAGCATCTGCTAAGGACCTGCTTCTCCTGTGTGTGGGGAAAGGGAAGAGAAGGCGCAGAGCAGAGATGTTCCTTGAACTTCCCACAGTTGATGAATAACTTTTAAATTTTTTCTGTTGCTCTGTATTGACCAAAGGAATGAGGCTGACAGAGGTGTATGTTTTTTCCTTTATTTGATAAAGAGCCAATTCTTAAACCCATAAATTCGTGCCCTGGGCTCCTTAGCCCACAGGAGTGTAATAAAGGTGCCCGGGCTGGTCTGTGCTGCTTTCTGCCGTTGCCCCTCTCATGTCCCCCAGAGAGGTCGTTCTTTTTGGTCCAACTCTTGCTGTCCTTTTTTGCCACCTATGCAGCCCACTTGGAGCCATGGGAGGCAGCCTGGGTTTGTAGCCCCTGCAGAGGCTCTGATGCTTAGATACCCATTGTGCCGTGTGAGCTCCATGTACACGCATCTGTACACACGACTGCAGCTTTTCCTCGGCGTCTGTACCAGGTGGTCATTATGGGGTCTGAATCAAAGGATAGCAGCTCTTCATTCCTCTTCTGATATGTACGTGCTGTTCCCGCCCAGCCCTGGGCTTTCCTGCATTGCCAAGCGAGGTGCCTTTCCAAGGACCAGCAGGGCCTGTGGTAGGACCAGCAGAACCACATGAGTGCCCTACCTGTCTGGGTGGACATGTGGTGGTGTGTTAAGGACAGAAAAAGACAGGCTTGAGGGAAGCCAACATAGAACTCAGGCTGTGTAAACTGTCAGAGGCAGTTTTCAATTTCTCAAGGCAGCCACCTGCTGGAGGCAGTTTTTATCCTCTTCCTCTATTGCTGTGTTGAAGTAATAGGGTTTTTTAACCTCCTGATGTCTTGTTTGTGGTTGAGTTTATGGTAATGGGTAAATGGGTCAGGCCACGTATTAACAGATGCCAGCTTGAGCTGACAAGCATTCCAAAGTGTTCCATAGCTAGACTGGTGCAGACGCGTCTGAACACTGCAGCCTACTGAAGTTCCTAGTTTCCAGCATGCTGTGAGGCCAGGGGTTCCTGTCAAGATAAAGCTTAACTTGTTGGATTTGCAGTCTCCAAAGGCTTTCTCTCTTGCTTAACTAAACCTGAGGCCCTCTCAGGTAGCAGTGACCTGGCTGCTCTTCCTGCAGCCTTGGGGGTTGGGGTACACACCCGGGGGCAGGGTGAGGAGCCTCACGGATAGCCCCTGGGGAGCCTGAGAAGGTCCCAGTGGTCTTGGCACAGGTGCCTAGAACATCATCTCTAGACAGTTTAATTCTGCTCCTGGCTGACTGTTCTTCCACTGATTCCTGCTGTCCCAAGGCCAGATGAGTGGGAAATCGCTATCATTGTCATAAAATGTGTCTGGAGTGAATACCAGGATGAACTGTATTCTCCACTCAACCTCGTGTGGTCTGCTTCCTGCTGACAACTATGCAAAGAGGAATTTTTCCACTTAACTCACAGCCTCCCTGCCTGATGTCTCAGCTGTTCCCCGTGGCAATACACGGGGGGTGGGGGGATTCAGGACTTTGCTAGGCTAGGATGTGAAGTATCTTGCCCATACCTCTTTGGGAAGTTGTAAAATTTTTTCCTTAATTTGCATCATTCTACAGCGTGCACTTTATGCCTCTTGCCTTTTGATAACTTGTTCAGTGAAGGAGGTCAGATGCCAGAATATTAAACATTTTCTGTTTTTTTTGGTACAACTCTTGGGACAGCCTGTGCGTTCACTGTAGTAAGTGTCCTGCTCCTTCCTGGTCCATATTGAAATAGCCCTGCTTCGCCCAGACCGCGTTCCTGTCTCCTTGCTGACCCTAGAGCTGCTGCTAGGGGCCATCTCCTCTCCTTGAAAGATGCACATGTCGATGCCAGCACAATCTGTACATCACTCCCAGGGACCTCTGGGTACTCGATGGGACCTACAAGGGAGAAAATACTGAGAAGCTCGCAATCTGTAAGCATTTGCTCTTGCTTCCAAGTCACCTCTGGGTGGTTTCAGCTTTTGTTTCCAAGTGGTAAGTCACCAACTGAAGGAAAACACTTGTGTCGGGTATCCTGCTCTCCCAAGACTGAAGTCACAGATTCAGCTGCGTGACCATGGGAAGTGACCAAACGAAGACACCCAGCTGGAGTCAGTTGAATTTCTGCAGCCTCAGTGGGGGCCCTTCTAGTCTTTTTCTTCCACTTCTGCAGAATTTCCTGCAGCACATATTTCTCCTTGCTTGCCTCTACTATGATGTTTGGATAAGAGATGGCCAGGGGAGAATATTTATCTCTGGAAAAAAAAAAAAACCTCAAAAGAACCTAGAATGTTCGACTGAGCAGTTATTATGAAAAATGCTAATGGTGCCAAGGCCAAGGGAAGAATTTCAGAAAATGACCGTGGGAAGGAGTGATAACTCCCACAATGCAAAGTCGGGGGAGTATCTGGTGCTTGAACAAGAAGCTCCACTTCACCACCGGTGTTTTAGGACTCAGAGGAACGCAGCAACAGGAAGTCCATCCAGAAAGGATGCAGTGCCCCGACTTGGACTGCACCTGAATAGTTACGTGTAACTTACTGAAGAAATCTAGTGTACTTCAAATTTTTTTCATAAAAGTTTACATTGTATTGTAGGTTAACATTAAATGTTTTATAACAAAAAATTTCATAACAAGCCGTGGGTCTTTCTGTCAAGGATTGAGTGGGTAGGTATTTTCTATGTGTGAAGGGAAGATTGGAAAACATTGGGGAGGTAACAGGACATTGCACTGCCAAGGAGCAAGGGAGCATCAAAGAGAAGCAAGGACTTAAAGTAGATCTATAGTGCATTTCCGGGAAAACCGGCAGCTTGGGCAGTGTGGAGCAGTAGGAAGGGCAGGCAGATATGGGTCGGATTCGGCTCTTGTTTCTCAGCTTTGTGACCTCAGATAAGTCTAGCTTCCCTGACCTTTAGTTTCCCCAGCTGTACATGAAGGGAATGCCATCTGCCTCAGGTAGGTCTGTAGATTAAATCCAATAAATGTGCATGAGGTACCTGACACAGACGTGGCATTAAGTGATTGGGAGTGTGTTTTGAAGGAATATTTTCTTGCAGTAATAACTCGGTTTCTTAAGGAATGCCATTTCTCCTGCTAGAACAGTCCTATATCCTTGTAAAGGCTTGACGATAGAAAACTCACTTTTGATCTAATGGCTGCTGAGCTCTTGGAGCTCCTCTCCTAAGATGTTTTTGCTTGTATTTTCATTTCTGAAAGTTTAAGCCTCAGTTCTTTGTGTTTCTCTACCCCATTGTCCCTTGCAAAGAACTTATTCCTGTGGATTATGGATCCTTGTGACCTTGAGAATCTGCCCTGATGCTTTCCAGAGATGTGGGCCGTTTACTTTTTAATGTACATCTTAAGCATAAATTAGAATGTCTTCTCAGTCTGCAAGAAAAATTTAGTCACCTGACTTGGGCCAGGATCCACTAAAAGTAGACATTTCACAATTGATAGCGAAGCTTACATATAAAAATCTTGTAGGGCTGCCAGTTAGCTCAGTTGGTTAGAGTGCAGGCTTATAACACCAAGGTTGCCAGTTCAATCCCCACATGGGCCACTGAGCTATGCCCTCCACAACTAGATTGAAACAACTACTTGACTTGGAGCTAATGGGTCCTAGAAAAACACACTGTTGCCCAATAAAAGTTTAAAAAAAATTTTTTTTGCTATCAGTTAACAGTCAAAAAAGATTAAAACTCTGATGCCAGGGGACCAGCTGGGTGGTGCAGTTGGTTAGAGCGCGAGCTCTGAGCAACACGGTTGCTGGTTCGATTCCCACAAGGGCCAGTGAGCTGCAGCCAAGCTGAGCTGCCAGTGGGCAGCCGGATGGCTCACCTGGTAAGAGCATGTGCTCCTAACAAGGTTGCTGGTTTGACTCGCACGTGGGATGGTGGACTGTGCCCTTCCCCTCCCCCCTGCCATCCCCCCAACCCTACCCCACAACTAGATTGAAAGCGGAGACTGGATTTGGAGCTGAGCTTGCGCCCTCCACAACTAAGAAAAGGACAACTTGTCTTGGAGCTGATGGGTCCTGGAAAACTCCAGTTCCCCAACACTGTTCTCCTCCCCAATTCCCCAATAAAATCTTTTAAAAAACTGATGCCAGATACACCTGGTTCCAAATCCTGCCTGTGGCCATGATTTTGGCCAAGTGAACGACTCCAGGCTTCAGTGTCATCTGTAAAGCGGGGATTGTAGCTCTACAGGGGGCCTAGCACACAGTGGGCTTTGGGTGGATAACAGCTCCCATTACTGTTGAAACAGTTCATAGTTGGCCCACTGCTAGCGGCTCACTCTAGATGCGGCTAACAGCTAACGGGAGGAGAGAAGAAGGGGAGGGAGTTCAGTTGAGGCTTTGCTTAGGCGGGCAGACCATGCAGGAGACTTGGTCCTTAACACGCGTCTCGTGTTGCAGTTGGAGCTCCATGTGTACTTTTACCACATGGGGCCATGAACCAACCCCCAAGTCCCTTCATGCCTGTGAGCTCAGCTAACAGTGCTGAGCCTCTCCCACCTCCCACAGCCTCGCCCCGGCCCTCTCCTGTCAGCCTCTCTCGCTAACACTCAGAACGGTGCCCAGAATCCCGGGTTTTTTTCCTGGCTTTCCC